TAGTAATATGGCTCAGCTTCGGTGTGTGTCTGAGCCCAGAAACCCAACATGTGCTGGGCTCCAGCCCCAGAGTGTGTGCAGCAGGTCAGGGAGAAGATTCTCCCTCTCTCCTGTGCTCTGGGGAGACCCTCTCTGCAGTCCTGATCCAGCTCTGGGGCAACAGCACAAGAGAGATGTGGAGCTGTTGGAGCAAGGAGATGCTGCAAAACCTGTAGAGGGGCTTTGGACAAGAGCCTGTAGGGACAGGCCAAGGGGAATGGCTTTAACCTGCCCGAGGGGAGACTGAGATGAGCTCTTAGGCAGAAGCTCTTCCCTGGGAGGGTGCTGAGGTGCTGGCACAGGGTGCCCAGAGAAGCTGTGGCTGCCCCATCCCTGGCAGTGTTCAAGGCCATGTTGGACACAGGGGCTTGGAGCAAGCTGCTCTAGTGGGAGGTGTCCCTGCCCATGGCAGGGGTTGGAACTCGAGGAGATTTAAGGTCTCTTCCAATAAAAACCACTCTGTGACCCTACAAATTAAACACCAGCAAATACCTTTCCCAGAGACGGTATCAGCTATATCCTGCAGATCACCACATACAACATACACAAAGCAGGGAAGATGAAGGAAACTTTCAAAATCTTTGGTCCCTGCTGGGAATGGGGACTCTTCAGAATGCTCACAACAGTCCTCTGGGCAGTGGGGATGTGGTGAACTGTCAGAGGATCAAGGTAAAGTGCACTGCTACTGGGGAGCAGGGCATAATGCTTTAGGGAGGGCAAGAGCAGGTATCTCAGGTCTTGTTTGTGGCAGAACACTGCTTTTCAGAGAAAAAAAACCAGAACAGAGCATAAAACACCCACCTTCTGTCCAGTTCCATCTTCAGCTACAGCCCATTACTTACAATGAAAGGAGACCACACACATGGCCTAATCATAGAGCCATTATTACTATATTTCCCAGTTCTTACAGAAAAGAAATCTTAAAAGCCATCACCCAGTTCTGTCACTCCTTCCATGAAGTTTTTAGCACGTGTCAGATAGCTGGGCCTCTTCTGGAATAGTTTAAGTCTGAAACTGTGCCAGAATTTGCTTTAAAAACAGCAAGAACAGGCCAGTTAAATTCCCAAGTCCCACAGCAGAACAGTTTTGAACCACTGACTTATAAAGATGATTTAACACTAAGTGTTTTTAAATCCCTTGTATCCAGACTTGAAAACAGTTACAGGATTAGAGTCCAGTACATTCTTATTAATTGTGGGTTTCTTCCCTGCTTGTGCTCTGACAAGCTCCTGAGCTGGATTTCTTAGCACTGTAACAAGCTTTAAAAGGAGAAGCAAAGAATTTGTTCACCTGATGACAACCAGGTATCTTTATCAGTGCTGTCTATACCTATTACTATTTGAAGACCTTCTGTAAAACCCTAATAGTACTTATTTTTGATATTTAAATGGAAATATGAAGCTTCTGAACAAGTAGAAAATCCAAGGCAGGTTTCCTGAAAGTCAGTGACAACTTATTTTGAAGAACAGAAGTTTTGCCCATGTGAAATACTTTACAAAGTTACATCCTCAAGTTAATGGATTGGAACTTCCAAGGAGCCCCTGTCTACTACCAAAGGGTACAGTGTACAGCATTCACGGGCAGAACCAGGCTTTATACTCAGCTGCTTCACAAGAAGGTTTCAAAACCCACACTTAAAGCTGGTGAAGCTTAAGTTGATGCAGCTCTAAGAGGAAAGCAGTATCTGTTTCATTTAGTGGAGTCACCATACCCTTAAAGCTCCTTGTGTCTGGAACAGGAAGATACATCTAACCAGCATTTAGTGAAGGGAATGGTTCATCTCAATCCCAAACCCTGCACTGACTGCTTTGAAACCCCAAAGAAACCCCAGTGTCCAAAATGGGAAACCCACAATGAACTCCACAGCACACTGGCTCCCAGTCTGACGAAGAGCAGACATTCTGCCCAGCAGTTCCAGCCTGTCACTGGCACAACTGACTCAGGAAGACTTAAGAGTGCCACTCTCTCTCTCTATATATATAAATACATTGTTAATTACATCCAGAAGTGCTCCTGGATTATATGCACATCTGGCCCAAGGAAATTAGGAATATCTGTAAACTATTTAACAAACTGTATTAGATTTTGCTTGCTAAAAAAAAAAAACAAACAAAAACCAACCACCCAAACAGAGCAGTTTTGCACACACAAACCAAAACACTGAAATCTCAAAACTGATGAGGTCTCAGGCAGCAGGAGCAGTAAAAAAAAAATAATAATTTAAAAATATTCCTGCATTTAGAAAGGTACTTTCCACCAAAAAAAGTAATCCAGGAATAACAAGTTTCACAGGCAGTCAATAGGGGTTTTGTAGATACGTGGTTTTACACTAACAACAGAATTACCACACAGTTTTAAATTAAATAGTCTCAGTATCAACTCTTTCATTCAGCATCTGTTTTATTCCCCATTCCTCCTCCTTGAATCTAATTCAACTTTTCTGCATTAGAAAACTCTTTATTTCAGTAACTGGCATATCATCCCTGCTCTGCTTGAGGTGGCCAGGCTGGGCACATAAACACTGCTCTATTTCTTCACCACACAGAGCACTGTACAGATTCAGAGATTACTCAGTGCAGAAAGGGAATACATAGAAGACAAGGAGGAGACAAAGTGATATATAGATTAGCAACCTAGTTAAAAAACCCTGGGTATGAAGATGGCAGCAGCACATACAACTGCAGGGATCTGGCACAGCCATATTGGCATGTGTATCAAGGCAATAGGTGTGAGAAACAACTACTGAATATAAAGATATCCTAGAATTACACTTTCAACAGAAGTGACTTTGGGTTAAGGTGCTTGACTATCAGGCTTTGTCATTTCACCTACTGACTGAATTGTCTGCAAGAACAGTCTGCAAAAAGCCTGCATTTAATACATCTGACAGGTACTTGTCTTCTTTTCAGACTGCATCTACAGAGCTGCTTTTTCCACAGAAAAGAGGAAAATAGTTATTTATAGAAACTGTAAGTTCTCACTATCACAAAATCTTACAGGAAACTCCCAGGGGTTTATGTAATATTTGCAGCAAGGCAACAGTCACCCATCCAACACGTTTAGATGTGCAGTTTGGTAAAAGATGGTTTAAAGATACTTTAGAAGATGGCAATGAGTAAATAGCTCTTTAACTGGGGACAAAATACTACAAATGTAATTGCACTCTTACTGCATACTGCTCAGTCAAATTCGGGCAATTATTAGCAAATATATTGCAACTTTACTTAACTCCAATTTCAAGGCAAGAAAAAACGAATTGGGGAAGTCCACAAACGAAAACAGACCAGGAGTCCAAAAGCTGCAAGTAGTTCTTGTTTGCCAGTAGGAAAAATCAAACTCTACCAATAGTGCAAAACCAGGTGCTGAAGAATTATATTCGCTGTTCTATGGAGAAAACGAAAATCCCCACATGTAGCAGCACCTCACACAATCTGAAGCCCTCACTCCAGGAGAAGTCGCATTAATAACATGCATCTGGGAACTTTACCCTGGGAAAAACCAGGGTAAAAGCATTGCGTGTTGTCATCACTATTCCCTCTACCACTCCTAGTTACTCAAAGCAGAGTTTTCCTCTAACTAACCACTGTGCCTTAGTGGTATGTCTCATCAGTAATACAAGTTCTTCTTTGAACAGTCCTGTTACACACTTAAACTGGGTTTAGGACAAGGTGGTGTTTCAAAACTGAGCAGCTTTCTGGCTCTACACATCACTGTGAAGTGCTCATAGGGGTATACTTTTTGCAACAGGGAGAATTTTCAGTCACATAGATACTAAATCCTAAAAAAAAAAAAAAAGGACCAATGGGGAAACTCATAAAAGCCACTTCAATCCATTTTCATAAGAATTCTGGGAACTTCAGAACCACAGCAGAAGCTAAACCACATATTTAGAGAGGAAAAAGCAAAGAGAGCAACAACTCAGCCTGAGCACTTGTTTCTCAAGCAGTTTTCAAGTCCATTCCTCCCATAGCTACTACTTTGAATGGAATGCCAAACAAGTGGCATGAAAATGAAAACAGTGTCAGCATAATTCCCCTGTAGTAGTCAGTTAGGAAAAATACTTACTGCATCCAGTAAAGCACAAACCCAAAACCACACACTGGCACTGCAAGCTGCTTCACTTAATACATGCAACTATTTCAGTTAATGCAGTAAAATCAACAGCACAGAACTGTTTCACACACATACTTCACACCCTCTTTTCTAAATAAAACCCAAACAGTGCTGCCAACGTGAAAAGTCTGAACACTGAAAATTTAGGGGGAAAAAAAAATGAACTCTCATCAAAATTGAGCAAAACTTCATGTTGTTTCTACACACTACAGAAAAAGGCTTTGTCCAGCTGAACCATTCTCCTTAGCTTCTATCACTGCAAAGCATGCTGCGCTTAGAAAGTTTCAGAGCCATGCAAAGGTGTGCCCATTTTCCCTACTGAAACACGGCTGTTTATAGCTCCCAAATGTAACGAGTGGGACTGAAATCTCTTCACAGCTGCAGGAAACCTTTAAACTCTGCTTTTTAAATGAAGCCCAAGTGACAAACCTACATGCTCTCTGCTGCTCTCTTTGCGTCAGAGGAAAACTTGACAAGCCTGACAGACTCCATTCATGCTTCCCCCTCCCCGCTGTGTTTTATCACTGTCATTACCTTTTTCTCCCTAGTGATTAGCACTAAACAACTGGAGGAAGCCACCGTGTCTTCTCCATTATGCTCTCCTGCAAAGAGCAGCACGCTGCACTAGGAGCTCAGGCAGTAGCTTAGTCATTGCAACACACCCGTCCTCCGAGCCTGGGGCACGGACCGAGGAGATGCTGTCGCCGCTCTGCCCTTCCCAGCCCCGGCTCCCTCAGCGCGGGCGTGACACCGATGTTGGGAGAGGAAAACAGGGTGGTGGCGGCTCCGGCGGGCGGGAGCCACCGGCGCCTCCGGGAGCCCGCGGCCCGGCCCGGCCCTCCCCTTACCTTCCGCCACGTCCTCGTCGATCGCCCCCTTCACCTGGGAGAAGCACCACTGGAAGTCGTTGCTGCCTCCGACGCCTCCACCTCCTGCCACCCCTGAAGCGGGAAGAGAGGCCGGTGAGGGACGGGGCGCCCCGCGGAGCCCCGGGCCCAGCCCCTTCCCCGGCGGGGCCCGCTCCTCCGCCGCACGGCCCGACCCAGCGTAGGCCACACACCCTCGGCCCCCAGCCGCGGCCCGACCCGGCGCCCCGCGGGGCAGGCCCGCTCCCCGCCGTGCCCCCCCCCCCCCCCCCCCGCCGCACCTCCCCGCCTGCCGGGGCCGCGCGGTGCAGTGCGGCCTGCCGCGCCGGTCCCGCAGCGCCTCCGCCCGCCGGGCGAGCCGCAGCCCGAGCCGCAGCGGGGCCTCACCTGCCATATCGCGCGGTGCCGGTGCGGCGGAGGCGGGGGCCCGCGGGGGCAGGCGCCGGCCGGGAGCGGGTCGCAGCCGCCGCACGGAGCTGCCGCCGCGGGAGGCTTCGGGGTTTCAAAATGGCGCCCATTGCCGGCCGGCCTGATCCGGTGACGTCATCGCCCCGGCTCCCCTCAGCGGCGGAGGCGGCGGGGCCCGGCCCGGCCCGGCCCGCTCGGCCCCGGGGCCAAGCGCTCCCCGCGGGGCTGAGCCGGCGCTCGCAGGAGCGAGAGGAGCAGAGCGAGGAGGCCCGCTCGGCCCGGGCGGCGGCAGGGAGGAAGCGAGAGCGGGGCTCCGAACTCACCGTCACGAACGCACCTTGACGTGAGGGGGCGCGGCGGGCCGGGGCTGCCATAGCCGTGCGGACTGCCCCGTTCGTGCGCCTCCTGGTTTGAATTTGCTTCCTCCGCTCTCCCCCCCCGGACGTTTAATGGTGGGGCTGCCTGGAAGGATGAACGTGATTCTTATTTGTGGGGTCCTGCGGAGGGTCAGGGGCAGCAGAAGCAGCGAGCACAGTCCCGATAAGACGGGCAGCCCCGGGGGCCTGTCCCCGGCCGGGTTTTTGAAGCCCCGGTGCTCAGAGAGGTGCGGGTGGCTCCTGATGGTGTAACTGTGCGCACCTGGGCACTGAGGGCGGGTGAGCCCCGTGTTCAGGAAGCATCCATCCCTCCCTCCATCCCTCCCTCCATCCCTCCCTCCATCCATCCCTCCATCCATCCCTCCATCCATCCATCCATCCATCCATCCATCCATCCATCCATCCATCCATCCATCCATCCATCCATCCACCCACCCCTCCCTCCCTCCATCCATCCTTCCATCCACCCATCCATCCCTCCCTCCCTCCCTCCCTCCCTCCCTCCCTCCCTCCCTCCCTCCCTCCCTCCCTCCCTCCCTCCCTCCCTCCCTCCCTCCATCCACCCATCCCTCCCTCCATCCACCCATCCCTCCATCCATCTATCCCTCCATCCATCTATCCCTCCATCCATCCATCCCTCCATCCACCCATCCCTCCATCCATCCCTCCCTCCCTCCCTCCATCCATCCATCCCTCCATCCACCCATCCCTCCATCCACCCATCCCTCCATCCATCCACCCACCCATCCATCCATCCATCCCCGTGTCTGTTTGCGGACATCACAGAATCCCAGCCTGGTTTGGGTTGGAAGGGACCCCAAAGCTCCTCCAGCTCCAACCCCTGCCACGGGCAGGGACCCCTTCCACTAGAGCAGCTTGCTCCAAGCCCCTGTGTCCAACCTGGCCTTGAACACTGCCAGGGATGGGGCAGCCACAGCTTCTCTGGGCACCCTGTGCCAGTGCCTCAGCACCCTCACAGGGAAGAGCTTCCCACTCCTTTGTGAGCTGCATTACTGAGGCTTTGTTCAGGTTTGGTCTCATTTATTTTTTTCTTCATTTTTTTCAAAGTAGTTGCAGATACTGAAAGCTGTAAAAATGAAACTTTTGCCCCTAAATCCGAAAGAGCAAAAAGAAAGCAAAATTATTTTTTTGTTTTTTTTTTCCCAATACCCCTGTGTTGTTTTATTTTTGACCTCTGAGTCCCTCAGAAGATGGTATAATGGGAACGTTTTAACTCGGAGGGAAGTGCTAAGTGCTTAGGAAGGTAACAGGTCTATATTGTTGTGTCTTAAACCTGAGGTGTGTTTCCTAAGTCCGGTTGGTTGTAGGAGATACAAACCAAGTGGTTGATGAACAGACTTGGTTAGTTGTGATCTTGAGTGCAATTGAGAAAAGAAGTTATCTTCTTCCTTACAAAGTGAGAGTCTTGTTAGTGATAAATAGCACTCAATAATGTGCCCTTCAGTGAGCCTTCCTCTCTTACTGACCTGAAGTTCACCTGCAGATGCTTCAGGATCTCTCTGCAGAAGGACTCAGGTCTGAGATGTGCCCCAGTTCAGTAGGGTTCCTCTCCGAGCATTTCTACTCTGGCTGGCAGCCTCTTCCCATCACTTTAGATACAGAAATGCATTTGACTTTAGTTTTCTTCATTTAATTGCTTGGTATGGTGTCTGTGTCCGTGTATGAAGTCGCTACTTGATCGGTGTTGCTTATTCCTTATACAGTGTAATACGTATTTAAGAATCTAAATGAAAGTATTTTCAGCTTAGTCTTTTGGCTGTGTCTTCTTTGTAGGTATAGGGCAGTAATTTTTTAAGGCACGTGGGTATTAGTTTCATTTTATTTGGTATCTAGTCTCTGTTTGTCAAAGAGAACGTACAGAGAAAGTTCTGTGCTTAGAAAAGCTTCCATTTGTCTGTTGAAAGCTGGTCATTTTCTGATTTGATTGACTTGCTCATTCAGCCCATAGTGAGCAGCCAGCTATAGTCATATATGAAATTGATGTTGTACATGTGTCCTCATTCTGTGGCTACCTGTAACTTTTGTATTAAACAGTGCTGAGTATCTTACTAATGGAAATCCAAACAGTATTAATTTGATTTTTAAAGGAATTCAGTCTGGAAGTTTTTACTTTTGAAGGTGTCTTTATTGCTTTGAATTAGAAACCCTGAAATAAACCCATTCAATTCATGCACACTGTGAGCACAATAGGTGTAGTTCAGCTGCAGACCAGGACTGGTGCCTTGAAATCTTATGACTGAACCAAACCCTGGCTTCATTCCGCTGTGGAACTGGGGGGAGGGTTTATGTCACCCTGTTGGTCTGAGTCTGCCTAAGTCTTGATGACAGCTCCTGGTCATGAATCAGGTCTGTGACTGAGCTTCTAGGAACGCTGAAACAAGAAACATCAATTTAAAAGTTAAATAAAATCAGTGGATTCTTGGTTTTCTTGCCAGCTTTTCTGCTTGTGTCGTGTTGCCGTGATGGTGAGCTGTGTAATGGTAAAATTCCAATAATCAGTAAAACCCAAATGGCTGGAGTCTATGATGTGTGTTCAGTCTTCATTCCTCTCTTAGTGGTTTGGTGTGTGTAGGGGGGTGGGTTTGGTGGTTGTTTTTATTTTCACTTTTTTCTGCACTAATGTGTGTGTTTGCAGTGAACTGGATGCCTTTGTATTGCCATAAACTCATGTGAATTAATGAGTTTGTGTGACCTGAGAGAGAATTCAAGTGTTGACATGGGTAAATCGTTTTGAGGATGCCCTGTTAGTTGAAAACTGAAGTTAAAATGGCTAATAGCTAAGTTAGCCTGTTGAAATGGGTCAAGCATTTGTTCACTTTCTGATGGATGTGGTTTTAGGAGCAGAACCTGTTCTAAAGTGCTGTTATATTCTTGTGAAGTGCTTGTGTTTTTAAGAAGTTGAATTTATATGCAGAATGCAGCCTTCTTATTGATTATATCCAAAGGATAGGTTAATTAAAATGAATCACAACAATTTGTGTTGGAAGGGACCTTAAAGCTCCTCCAGCTCCAACCCCTGCCATGGGCAGGGACCCCTTCCACTAGAGCAGCTTGCTCCAAGGCCCTGTGTCCAACCTGGCCTTGAACACTGCCAGGGATGGGGCAGCCACAGCTTCTCTGGGCACCCTGTGCCAGCGCCTCAGCGCCCTCACAGGGAAGAGCTTCTGCCTAAGAGCTCATCTCAGTTTGTTTTTACAAGCTCTCTAAAGTTGGGAACTCAAATTCAATAGAGTGTGTTGATAGGAATAGCTGGAGCCCTGTGTGATCTGTTGGGTGTTGTGCGTTTATAGACCTGTTGACAGTTGTCTGACTCTTGTGTGGGACTTGCTTAAAATACAACTCCACTCACTTGCTTCTACCTGGAATTTTGTGTTGGATTGTGTCGATTGCTGGAAAGTGTTCTAGGCCTGGCTGTCCATGCCCTGGGGCAGGCTCTGGCACAAGCAGTTCCATGGGTGTGTGCAGCACTATTGTCCAATTCTCAGAATTCAAGCACAGCGTGTCTATGGGGCTGTTCCCAGTTGTGTGGTTCGGTGTCATGGATTCAGGAGTTGCATTTGGCAGTAAGTGACGTTTTGCTCTTGCTGAGCAAGAAAAGTGACTGAGAGCCGTGTTTCCAAGTGAGCTCCCAAAATAGCATCCTGCCCAGGCAGCTGCTTCGTGCCCCCTGACATATGCTGTGTGAAGTGTTGCTGCCAACTCAGCAGCAGTTGCTTCTTGTCCCGTTTCCCATTATCTGCTTGTGATTAAATAAAGCCTTGCGTGCTGCTGGGGGTTTGGTGGGGGTCTTCTGCTGCTCTTGCTTTGGAAACAAAGCGTGCTCAAAGTTACCTGTTCAAAAAGGGGGGGGCTGTTCAGCCTGGAGAAGAGAAGGCTGCGTGGAGACCTCAGAGCAGCCTTCCAGTGTCTGAAGGGGGCTTATAGGGATGCTGGGGAGGGACTCTTCATTAGGGACTGTAGTGACAGGACAAGGGGTAACGAGTTAAAACTTAAACAGGGGAAGTTTAGATTGGATATAAGGAGGAAATTCTTTCCTGTGAGGGTGGTGAGGCACTGGAATGGGTTGCCCAGGGAGGTTGTGAATGCTCCATCCCTGGCAGTGTTCAAGGCCAGGTTGGATGAGGCCTTGGGTACCATGGTTTAGTGTGAGGTGTCCCTGCCCATGGCAGGGGGGTTGGAACTGGATGATCTTAAGGTCCTTTCCAACCCTAACTATTCTCTGAGTCTATGAAAAACATAGGGCAAACCCTGGGAATAGTGTTTATTGGCACAGGGAACCAGATTTCACTCATAGATACATATTATGGGCTGACTGCCATAAAGCATGATTATTCTTAGGTGAGATGAGCAATAGATTTATATTTTTCCCCATGACAGTCTACCAAACTTCACAGAAAGTCTGTGGTTTACAAGTTGGTGGATCACCTTGTTCATACAATCCCAGGCTGGTTTGGGTTGGAAGGGACCTTAAAGCTCATCCAGTTCCAGCCACCTGCCACTGACAGAGACACCTTCCACTAGAGCACTTGTTAACCCCCTATTTGGTCATCCTACCTGTATTATTTTACGCTGTGTTCATCTATATGGTGTATAAACATGTTCTTGTGTTCAGTTCTTAACCTTGGTTTTTCCTGTTTAATTAGGGTGCTTTGCTGCCCGTGCTGTCTTTGCCCCAACCCCTTGTATGTGGGTGCCTGTCACAAAGCCTGAGCTACAGACCCCTTGGCTCTGCAG